CAGTGTAGTATTAGGTATAGTTGATGTTTTCCAGTTCCTCATGAGACAGTGTACTATTAGGTATAGTTGATGTTTTCCAGTTCCCTCATGAGACAGTGTAGTATTAGGTATAGTTGACGTTTATATATATATATATATATATAATACTGGTATAGTAAAACTATCACTTTTATCTCGTGCAGTTCTTGCTTCAGCATTTTACAAATTTTAATACTTAGTTATTTGATTTTGTTGAAATATTTTTCATTTATGTACATTTTGTGATATTTATATTTCAGTTATGTTTAATTATTTGCTATTCATGATGTGATTATAAAATCATTTACCTGTTTTCAGTATCACAACCAACCTCGTTCATACACCGCAGCCTTAGATATACTGAATATGGTTTTCACCACTGTGTTTGCCCTAGAGTTCCTCCTCAAACTTATAGCATTCAGATTCAAAGTAAGATTGATGATTTATTGATGTTTATAGAATTATGTCACACTTTAAATCAAACTTGTAACCTTCAGCTTCAAGAAAAGATCAACATTCCCTTGATAATGATAATGTTTCGTTCACCTGTATCAATAAATCAGATGTATAGCCTTCAGATTCAAGATTAGAGTAATGATTTTTTTTTTCTTCTGTTGATGATTGTTTAATTTTGTTCATGTGAATGTTAAAAATCTACCTTGTGACCTTCGGGTACAAAATAATACTAACATTTTGTTTCATTTGTGACAAAATTTTTGTGCACATGAAAACTATAAATCAGATGCTTCCTTCAGAATGTAAGATAATAATTTTGATACAGATTTACAAATTAAACATGTAACTTTCATATTTAAAATGAGATGAGTGCTTTTATGGTGATGATACAATAATGTTTTTTTTGTAAACAAAGCTGATAAATTTTGTTTATATTCTAAATCAAACTTATAGCTTTCTCTTTTGGCCTGCTATGGCCAGGTGGTTAGGATGCTCGACTCACTATCTGTGGGTCGCAGGTTAAAATCCCTGTTCTACCAAACATGCTTGCTCTTTCAGCCATGGGGGGCATTATAAATGATGATCAATTCCATTAACTGTTAACAATGGGTGGTGATGACTAACTGCCTTCCCTCTAGTCTATCACTGATAAATTAGGGACGGCTAGTGCAGGTAGCCCTCGTGTAGATTTGCACGAAATTCAAAACAAACCACAAACTTTCAGTATATAAGTTTCACTGCTGTTCTGTTACATCATGATTATAGAATATTAAAGTTGATTCATGACTTTGAATACATAAAACTTGTGTTCAGGTTTAAGAAAAGTAAATTGATAGTATCTGTAAGATAACTTTGATTATTGTAGATGTTCTTGTAGCTGTTGAACTTTTGAGTTAGTGATTCTGAAGGTTGATGTATCTTATTTTACAGAATTACTTTGGAGATGCCTGGAATGTGTTTGATTTTATTATTGTCTTAGGAAGTTTTATAGACATCGTCTACTCTGAAGTCAATGTAAGTGCTTTTTCTTTTGCTGCTTAGTTATTTACGACTGGTTGTTTGGATGAAATTTATTGACTAAACATATTGATTAAGGAAAATTAGGAGAATAGAATATTAACCCATTAACTGCTGCAGGAGCGGCTCAGTTGCCATTTTCTGACTCGCAGATAAAACTGAGTTGCCATCAATCACAATAAAACTAATTATTGTCATTCGCATAGAGTTATAGTTATATATGTGCGATTGACGGATATTTCCGTCATTCACAGCTGAGCCATACAACTTCAATGACGGAAATATCCACAGTTGATGGGTTAACTATTGTATTTTTATGCAACTCTTCGATTTATTAACAGGCTAGTGAATGAGACCAGTTCATAACACACATTTTAGTGTTACAAATTATTATAAACAAACCTGAAATAAAAACTAGTACGGGGCAGTTTGACAAGGGTAATAAGAATATGGGGTTGAGTTTGCTGGTGTATATTTCTGACAAATCTATAATTCTCCAATATAAATAAACGGTTACTTTTAATGTATCAAAAAACCAGTAGTTCGTGAAATAAAACAGTTAGTATATTTAAAACCACTATTTATTGAAATGTTTATCCTGTCATTAAGTGTGTTCTTTTGATTCATGTTTTTCATTCTAATTGCTTTTAAAGTGCATACGCAACACGTGTTAATACAAAATTGTTTCACAGAGTAAGCACAATTATCTCTAGTACTGATTGTATGTTACCACAAAGTGTCAAAGTTAAATCCTCCATGAGCAATCATTGATATTTTTACAAGTTTACTGCACTTTATCCATTCAGTTAGCTAGATATATGATATAGTCAGTAATTAGAAAATAACTCCAACTTTTCTTTTATAGCCTGGCTCCAACATCATTAGTATTAATTTTTTCCGACTCTTCCGAGTGATGCGGTTAATCAAGTTACTGAGTAGAGGAGAAGGTATCCGGACCCTTTTATGGACCTTCATAAAATCGTTTCAGGTATCTGTGATCTTTGATCTCTGTATCTTTGCTATTTTTTGTTTTCTTTGTATCTTTGCATCTCTGTTCTTTGTATCTTTGCTCTTTGTTAAACAAAGTATATTTTAAATCATTGCTAAGTTTGAATAGTAGAACTACTCATTACTAATTTGCATACAAATGTTAAAAACATGTTGTAACAAGTTATGTGTTTCAGGCACTGCCTTATGTTGCACTCCTTATTGTGATGCTTTTCTTCATCTATGCTGTGATTGGGATGCAGGTAAATATACAGTTTTCCCATGGTAGATGAAATTTTGTTTTTTAAATTTAAGAGAGATTTGAGTATGTATTTTGTTACTATTTTCAAATGTTTCTTGAAGTTTGACTTCTTATTAATGGTTTGTTATGAATTTTGTGCAAAGCTACACGTGGGATATCTGTGCTAACTGTCCCTAATTTAGCAGTGAAAGACTAGAGGGAAGGTAGCTGGTCCACACCACCAACTCTTGGGCTACTCATTTACCAACAAATAGTGGGATTGACCAGGATATTATAATGCCCCCATGGTTGAAAGGGGGAGCATGTTTGGTGGGACAGGGAATCGAATCCGCGACCCGCAGATTGCCAGTCGAGCACCCTAACCACCTGGCCATGCTAGGCCTTTTTATTAATGATTAAAAGTATAGTTGTTTTACCCAGCCAGTGTTATTGGGCCTAATTAAATGTTTTTTTTTACACAAAGTAATAATACAAACACAGCTGTAATGCTAAACTGTGTGTGTGTGTTGCAAATATATCGATGTTTATTAGTATTTCACGAGAGCGAAGTCAAAAACACAGTATCATATTAATCTTAATGTTCTGTAGTATTCTAAATAAAACTTTTACTACATGTTCTTCCCCCACAGTTGTGTTTCCCTGTGTTAAATTTGTTCTTTAACATTGTTGCAGATTAAATGTGTAAAACACTGTCTATCTTGGTGATCTTGTTTAGTTAAACATATTAAACTGTTACACACCAAATTGATTTTTAGTGGAGAAGTAGATAGCTCTTGGAAGTAAACATTTATGGTAGATTTTTGACTAATTTGATAAATCATTACAGAATATCTTCTAAATGATCTGATAATTGTTCAGCTTTAGTTGAAAAAATTATTAGTGGCTCAGATCTTCATTTTTAATACTTGTTTTGTACACAAATATCAAGTTAAATAGTGTGTTAACTGAGTAGTGTCACTAGGTAGAGGGGTATTGAATCCAAAGTATTGGCACACGTCTCTTGGAATTACCAATTTAAAATAAAACCCACAATGTTGTTAGGCTTTACTAACAGTCTCTAGTAATTCAACCTTTTAGTTTGATAAGTATTAGTCCACCGATGGATTAGTGGTGAGTTTACAGACTAATAATGCTAAAAATCAGGGTTTGATTCCTCATGGTTGACAGAGCAAATATAGCCCAATGTGTAGCTTTGCTTTAAAATCATCAACAACAATAAATTAAACATTTTTTAATCCAGTGATATGATGCACGTTGAACCATCTCACTAGATACTTTAACATCAAATTAGCTGTTTCAAGTTGTAGTAATGGTGACTTACATGTACATCCATCAGGCGACACCCACGTCTTCTGAAATTATTCTTTGAAAATTTTATTTAAACATAAATATGTGTTCTATAAGCCTGTATATTTTTTAATAAAGATTAGAAGCTTTATTTTGCCAGTTTTATTTATTTTTTGATTTTCATCATTAGGTGTTTGGAAAGATTTCTCTAGATTCAACAACTGCAATTCATAGAAACAACAATTTTCAAACTTTTCCTCAGGCTGTTCTAGTTCTTTTCAGGTAACATAAAAACACAGTTTTTACCAGGTAATTTAGTTAATATTAACTACGTATACTTTGTAACTAAAAATTAATTGTTAATGCTATTTTTTTTTTCCTTTTATAGTTTTTTTTTAGGTAACTTAAAATCAAATATTATGCTTTTCTTTGTTTTGTTGTTTTTTAGGAAATATTAACAACTGCTAAAGTTTTCAGGTGATCTAAACTGTAAGAGTTTTCTCATGTATTTTTTCAAATAATTTAAAAGCAACTTTTTAATTAATTATTTCATGATTTTCAGATCTTTTTCAAGTTGATTATAAGCAACTTCTTAGGTTTTTCATATTTTTTATGTATTCAGATGCCAAACAGCTATTTAAATTGCATTTCCTCTAGTTATTTTGGAAATTGAAATTTTACTTATACTTGACGTACTTAGCTAAACTTGACATAGTTTGGTTATTGTGAAAATTTTCTTTTATTCTTGAACTTTAACCCATTAACTGCGGATGACGGATATTTCCGTCATTGAAGTTCTATGGCTCAGCTGCGAATGATGGAAATATCCGTCGGTCGCACATATATAACTATATATCTCTATGCGAATCACGATAATTACCGTTTTATTGTGCTTGATGGCAACTCAGTTTTATCTGCGAGTCAGAAAACGGCAACTGAGCTGCTCCTGCAGCAGTTAATGGGTTAATATCGATTAGAATACTAGTGAATAACATTTTACTTGTGTATACGTAAAGACTATTGAACAAGGAAACTCGCAGCATATCAGTGAGACTGGCATTCTTGTGTATGAAGAAACTGATGGAAAAATCAATGCTAAACATAAACTTGTTCGATATTAAGTAGGAAATTTTAGTTTAGATTTGAAAACAGAAAGATTGTTCCACGTTTTTCCAAGGTGTAGCTAGCACACACAGGTTTTATCGTATCATACTGTTCTTGTTGTCTTTGTAAGGTTTAATGAGTAATACCCATGTGAAATGTTTTTAGATCTGCTACGGGAGAATCTTGGCAGGAAATCATGATGGACTGCTCCAACAAACCAGACGTAAAATGTGATAAGCAATCCAATACTCCTTTTGAAAACTGTGGAAATGACTTTGCACTGCCTTATTTCATCTCTTTCTATACCTTATGCTCTTTTTTAGTAAGTATATATATATACCTTAATATCTCAAATATGTTATTAAATTATCTTAGTAATTAATTAATAAAATTCATGTATTATATCTGCATCAATTTGAATTTTTTTTTAAATGTGAGAAATATATGATTTATTTTAAGAGCTAGAGAAACATGAAGTATTTTCGGGGCTAGAGAAACATGAAGTATTTTAGGGGCTAGGG